GGGGGGGGGGGGGGACTCTTGCATTTGCAGTTGTAAACATTTTGTCGAGACTCGAGAATCTCTTTGTGTCTCAGCTCGTATTCCAGCTTGCAGTTTATCACAATCCTGATGCCCCTCCAGCTCTGGCTGGCTGTCTCCTAATCAGACTTCGAGTTAAATAGGGCTTCCCTTCCCATTTTTTCTTTGAAACTATCGATGGTCTGAGCTTTGATCTAAGTTTAGTCCTTAGGGGTGGTCAGAAGAAACTTACCGTGCGCTTTCTTACTAGCTGTGTAGGCCAGGCTGTGGGTTTGCCCAGGGAAATGCTGGATCGTTCACCTGGTGCAAGAGCCAAAATCACACACAAGTCGTGAAATTGCAACCTGTTTATTCTGTACAGCAATAGAGAGGCACTCTCGGAACCCAAGTCACAAATCGAAAGCCCCAATATGTAAATTAGCATATCCTTTATACATTTGTGAAAACAAAAGCACATGATTATTAGTAAGCAATAGGCAGTAAGCAGTAAATTATTCACACCCCTGGTTGGGCAGAGCCTCCCCAAGGAGTGGGCTCCTTGCTAAAATATTGCAGCCTCTTCCCTTCTATCTGACCCTAGCTGATAAGGCTGGTATGTAAAGGTGGCTGGTGTGGGTCTTCCGGGCTGTGTGGCCGTGTTCTTCTGTGACCGGCATCTTCAGAGTGTAGGAGCACAGACACAGTTCTCTCTGTGCCCGGGGTGATGTGACCCTTTTGTGGGTATTTATAGAGATCTGAAGGGGGGGATTGGGAGGGGGGGAGTTTGGGTTAACGAGTGGCTGGTTGTTTTGGTGTCAGCATATGTGTGTATCTTCCTGGGGATTAGGCAGGGTTTTTTCTTCTATTGAGTTGTTGACGAGTGGCTGCTGAGGGTGATTAGCAAGTTGATTGTGTGAACTGTTCCCACGTCCTAGTGGATGAGCTGAGTTCGTGAAAGCCTTGGACAATACACTGGTATGTAAAGCTTTAGTTAATTTATCTACAATAAAAGGAATTTGGCTTTGAGTCTATGCTGCTGTGTGTCAGGATAGTACCACTTCTTCAATAATGCTGGATCGTTCCACATGATCATTCCAGGAATTTGCAGTGCAGGGTAAAGTGGCCCGAAAGGGAGCAACCATGAATAAAGATGGTATTCTTTATTCATGGTAAAGCCAGCTATACCAGCCCATCAGTTGGGGACTCCAGGAACTGCTATTTTTATTTGCCTAGTAGTTTCTTGGTCTTCCCCTCAGTAGCTCATGCTGTTGCATCCATTCTGAATTGACCACCTCTTCAATATTTTTGCATTGCGCACACTTCTTTATTTTGATTTGCTTCTATATATTTTGCATTAATCTTTTGGGAATAAAAGTGACTGAGAAGAGTAGTGTTTATACTGTGTATGTTTGTAAAAAAGCAAAAAAAAATTGAAACTGGAAAAATAAAGGAATTACTTGCTGCAGGAAGCTCCTTGTCCTATTAATATTCATACACTTCATATTCAAGTCACACTAACCCATGGTTTTGGCCTAGTGTATTATGTGCATTCAGCCATTTTGGTTTATTAAATAAGGTGTAAAACCAATCAAGCATGATGTGTGAAATAAATCATACACTATCACGCAGGAATCATCTAGTGTCACATGGGAATTGATTTAACATTTGTGGCAAATTAGCATGACATTCCTAGAACCAGTTGAGATCACTACTTGACCTTATCTCTGTTAAAAGCCCAGACTCTAGACTAAGGGCAGGACTAATTTTAAAAAATTATGCAGTAGAGGCAATCCACTATTGGCCAAGAAAGAAAATAAGAACTTCCTTTAAACTTTTGAGGATGTGGCGTATTGGTGTTTAGCAGGGAACTGAATTCCTGAAACTATGTTTATAGTATAATTGCAGGCTCTGGGATCTGGGGGGGAGGGGGACGCAACAAAATGTTCCTACCCCTTCTTTCCCCAAAACAATCTAGAATATTTGGCAGGTATAACAGGGGAAATGTCCTACTGACTTGAGAAGAGAGCTGGAGGGAATTTTAGGCTCTGTAAATGGTGAGTGGTATCTCCAAGAGTCAAAAGCAATGTTTTCAGGCTGTTGCCAGTTATCTTCTGAGAACCTTTCTTACAGGCATGAGAAAAGTAAATATAGCTAAATCTGTTTTATGCCAACCACATTTTTTATATCTCCCCATATTTTTTGTTTAATTTTTCTTAAATTTCAGAAATTTACATAGTGCTGCTACATTTTAATGTGCTCATAATTTTTGATACAAGCTGTTTCCAGGATGCCTATTTCTTATATGAAGTATTAAATTCCACCATTTCCTATAAAACAATGATTCACTACTTTGACTTCTCATAGGAAGTATTTTATCAGACATTTTCAAGTAAACCTATAGATTTAGCCATCACCCATCTATCCATTGAAATATTATCCAGATATTGCCATTCTTTAGCAATTGTAAGTAAAAAATCAGTTTTTTACTTTGCAATTTCTTATTCTGGCAATCAGATTTAGGTAGCAATACTACCTGTGGAGAGAATTGAATCATTTGTTTAGCTCCGTATGGCATTTCTTTAAATACATTTTTCCAAAAATCTGTTTTATCACATTCCCACCAAAGGGAATGCTCTTTCCAGCTGCTGCTCTTAAATGCCAGATTGCCCTGTAATAAACCCTCCTTCATCTGTAATTTGATCATGGATGAGAGGGCCGACTTGGCATATATTACTGAGACCTGGCTGGGCCCGGGGGGGGGGGTGGCCCTTTCAGAGATATGCCCAGCCATGTTTCAGATGTGGCGCCAGCCGAGAACCCGGGGTAGGGGTGGTGGGGTGGTGATTGTCATCTGAGAATCACTTACGGCTTTCAGGGGCACTGCCCCGCAGGTCACCAGATGTGAGGCCCTGTTTATTAAGTTGGGCTCTAGAGATCAGTTGAGATTGTTGCTGTTGTACCAGCCTCCCTGCTGCACAGCAGCTTCCCTGCCTGAGCTCCTTGATTCCATTTCCGGGTTGACAGTGGAATTCCCCAGTCTTATGATCTTGGGGGACTTCAGTCTGCCTTCCCTGGGAGTGGGGTCTAAGGTGGCTCAGGAGTTCATGGCTGTGGACCTATCCCAGGTCATGCAGAGCCGCACATGGGACAGTGGCCACACACCGGATCTGATGTTCCTGTCAGAGCAGTGGCTATGTGATCTGCAATTGGGGGAGCTTATGGTGTCCCCCTTGTCATGGTCAGATCATGCTCTGATTTCCATGGGATTCTCTGGTGCCGCTATTAGATTGCTCCGCCCCTGGTGACTGATGGACCCAGATGGGTTCCAGAGGGAACTGGAGGTTGTCCCTGCTGGTCTGCTGTACGGTCCATCTGAAGCCTTGGTTGCTGCTTGGAATAAGGGGGTGGCTGAGGCTTTGGATCAGAACACACCCATGCGACCTCTTCCCTCTCGGGGATCCCGTCACTCTCTGTGGTTTAGGGAGGAGTTGAGGGAGATGAAATGAGAGATGTCTAGAGCACCGCTGGCGCTCAACTAAGGACATACTTGACCAAACACAGGTTAGAGCCCCTATTAAGGCCTATCTTGTGGCAGCAAGGGTGGCAGAGCACCAGTATTTCTCCACCCTTATTGTGTCTGCAGATTGTCTCCCCGCAGCTCTGTTTTGGGTGGCATGAGCCCTCTTAGGTAAAGGGGGCCCAGGGATCCTTTTGCAGGGAGGTGTGGAGGAATTTGCTTAGCATCTGTCAGACAAAATTGCTAGGATTCACTAGCAGTTGGATTCTGGCCTTGCTGCAGTTCTGGAGGAGGTGTCTAGGGTGGAGTCTTGCCTGGTTATCTGGGAATGGTTTCAACCTGTTAGACCTGAGGAAGTGGACAGGGTCCTTAGAACTGTGAGCTCCTTAGATCCATGCCCCTCCTAGCTTATGAAAGCGGCCTGGGAGTTGTCGTGTGAGTAGGTTCTAGCGGTGGTGAATTCTTCTTTGAGTGAGGGGGCTGTTCCTTTACCTCTTAAGGAGGCCTTGGTTTGCCCCCTCAAGAAGCCATTGCTGGGCCCCATGATACTGGACAATTTTCGTCCAGTATCTAACCTCCCCCTTCTGGGGAAGGTGATTGAGAAGGTGATTGTGCAACAGCTTCAGAGAATCTTGCATGAAGTGGATTATCTGGATCCTTTTCAGTCAGGATTAACCCAAGTATGGAATGGAAATGGACTCTCCATGCTTTTGGATGATCTCTGGCATGGACAGGATGGTAGCAATGCATGCATCCTTGCCTTACTTGACCTCTCGACAGCTTTCAATACTGTTGACCATGGAATCCCTCTGGATCGACTCAGAGAATTGGGGGTGGGTGGCACAGTGTTGTGCTGGTTTACCTTCTTTCTCCAAGGTCGATTCCAGTCAATGGTGATTGGAGAAGAGAGATCCCACCCTTGGCCCCTATGTGGGGTGCCACAGGGGGCAGTGCTCTCTCCTCTCCTATTCAACATCTACATGAGACCACTGGGTGAGCTCACCATGGGGTGAGGCATCATCAGTATGCTAATGCTACCCAATTGTATAACTCCACTCCTGCTGAATTAAGTGATGTTGTGGACATCTTATCCTGGTGTCTGGAGACTGTGAGGGTCTGGATGGGAAACAACAGTCTTCAACTGAACCCTGGCAAGACTGAGTGGCTTTCGGTTTTGAGCCCCTCTGGTTCTAGGATTTTACCATCTTTGGTGCTGAATGGGGTTGCACTGCCCCAAATGGACACTGTATGCAATCTGGGGGTCCTCCTGGACTCATGACTCTTGCTTGATGAGCAGGTGACAATAGTTGCGAGTTTCCCTTATGTCCAATGAGAGCTCTTGTGTCAATTTGTATTTGTCATTTTAAAAATTGCACTAAATTGGAAAGCTTAGTGGTATAACCTTTAACAGATCAACTTATTACTATTTAGCTTAACAGATCTTATTTCCAGATAAGGAGACATACATGAACAGCCTAAAACAACTTTTTAATGCTTTTTTTTCTCTTCAGGTTAGCCCTGAGAATGATTTTACTAACTTAATATTCCACTTTCCACTAATAATAGTGCTCATCATCCAAAGGTCAGTTGGCTCCCAAATTTCACTTTGGTAGTGGTAGGCAGGTATTACTGCATAAATGCAGCCCAGTGATGTATGTGGAAGACTTTAGTGAAATCTCAAGAGGGACAAAGATGAGGAGGGAAGATGTCCTTTCTTTCATATCTGAGGATACATGTCACTTCTTTATATCAAAACCAGACATTTCTTGTTCCAACTTCATCTGATTATTGGTAGGAACCCCAAAAGATTTCCAAGATGCTACAAGAACCATAATATAAAAAAGCCATAAAATGTGAATATATTGGGAAATTAGAAATATCAACCAAGGCTTTTACTTTCACACAAATCTGATATAAGGGTTCAGTAGTACTCTGTGACAGTATCACACACACGTGTGTGTGTGTGTATTCTAAATTAGCTAAAAAATGTCCAGACACGATAAGCAGAAGTGATTTTATTGTTGAACACAAATGGAAAAGACATCTCAAATTACATTAAAGAATACAAAATACTTAGAAAACTGAGTCACCCTTCCCTTGGCACATGATCTCCCAACCCCCACCCTATACATACTGCACATTTATTCAAATAGATTATTTGATATTTTGGAGCAGCAATAGTGAGCCATAACAGCCACAAACTACGCATAGTCCTAACATCCTGATCTGTTTAGATTTTCAAAAATTATTAATAGTAATAATAAAACTGTGTTCCCAGAAATTAAGATTTTGTTCCATCAATATTTAATTGCCGTGAAGCCAGAGTTCTGCGTGTACATGGGACACAATAGGACAAGAACTGCATGAATCTGCTTGTATAAAACCACATAATTAAACATGCTCTTGTACAATTTAGCTGTTTCAGCTGGAATCACCCACACAAAGTCTCCAAATGGAGGGTGCAGCTTCCCAAGGGGCAGAAATGGGTTAACTCCCATCCATGTTAAGTAATGAAGAAACCTGAAGTCTGATCATCAGCTTTCTAAACAACTGCACTTTTTTTTCCCTAGGTTGGCTCCTTGGCAGCTTCACACTATGTCAACGTTTCACCCTTTGTTACCTGTCAAGGGAAAAAAAGTTTGCTTACATTGGAATATAATTTCTGGGGAAACAGAAGAGACCTTATGTATCCACTGGGAAGCAAGAAAAGATAGTATTTTAAGAAACATGAGCAAAGCTTGGAAAGGCACATGACTGCTGAAGCTGCTTGGGTATCATATAAGAACTAATTCAGGCACTGGTTTCAAGTTTGCTTAGAAAGGCACATGGTCTTTAAAGAGAAAAATGTATATTTTAGGCTTGCAAGACCTTTTCCTATAACAAAACCCAAAGGGTGTTGGAAATGGCACCATCGTATCTCAGGGTCAAGCTTACCCTCAGCTCAGCCCTTGGATGACTTTAGGCCACTGTCTCTCAGTGCAGCCTGTTATGGGAAAAGTGGGAGGGAGCACTACGCACATCTCCTTGAGCTCCTAAGAAAAGGTGGGACATAAAGCTAAGCAAGAAACAAATAACACAATGGCTGAGGAAAGCTGCATCAATGAAATGCTTCTGACTATATATTCAGCCAGGGGATTTCCCGGTAACAGGAAAGTCACGTTCCCGCATTTAAAAGGCGGAACAAACTTGTCACTACGTTTAAATCCACCGAGAGGCAGAACAAAACCCGATGACCCACCCAGAGGCAGCCGCCCTCGCTTGGTTCTGCCCGGCCCCCAGGGGCAGCGAGCGGGCACTTCCAGCCCAGGCTGCCCCAAACAGAGCCGCCCGGAGCCCGGGGACGGAGGCTGGGGGTGCCAGGCGACCCACGGGAGAGAGGCGCTCGCGGGCCGAGCGCCCTCGGCAGCTTCTCCCGCCGCGCAGGGGAGATGGCTCACCCGGGCCTCGATGTATTCGATCCGTCTCTCCAGCGCCGTCAACTTCTCGTTGAGCGTGGCCAGGCGGGAGC